TTCCTTCCTTCCTTCCTTCCTTCCTTCCTTCCTTCCTTCCTTCCTTCCTTCCTCTTTCCCTCTTTCCCTCCTTAAAATTTTTGGTGGTGTTGCTGTTCATTTTCTTTTTCTCTCCAAGATATTTTTTTGAGGTTTTTTTTCTCATTTTGTATTTTACTGATATTACCAGGATAGTTTACTCTGTTTCTTGCTTTCTGCTTGCCACACATACCGGATAACACACACACACCCACACACACACCCCGTGCTCATGGGGGAGAGGTTCTGGCTGGGTCTGCCCCTCCCCCTCCCCAGTGTGGGGACCGGATGGGGGACAAGGTGACATGTGAGCAGACCTCGGCCTCGCCTTCTCCCTCCCCTGGCTCACCCACCCTGCTCCTTCACACCATGCTCCAATCATAACCTTGTATATTACGCAGTCATTTTGGTTTTCGCAGACGCGCCTAAGTACCATTTACAGAAAGTGACTCTGGCTGTTATTTTGTTTGTTTCCCTATGCAAAAAAAGAAAAAAAAAAAAAAAAAAGAGGGGTTCCATAAAAGATTCAATAAAAGGCAAAAAAAGAAAAAATGTATAAAAATTAAACAAGCTACGCTTCGACTCGTTCTGGCTGTCTTTGGTCCTTTCTGTGTTCAGTGCAGACTGTTCTGTGTTCTGTGCCAGGGAAGAGGCTGGAGGGGCAAGACGGGTGACCACAGGAAACAAGGACCCCAACACTTTGAGTGAGCTGGCAGGTGTCCTGAGACCTTTAGATTAGATGTCCCAGGGGACATATCACAGTGGGAACATCTGTGGTTTTAACTGGGGGAAGCTACCGGCATTGAATGGGTGGAGGCCAGGCTTCTGCTCAGCACCCCACAGTGCCCAGGACAGCCCACTACAGAGGACGATTCAACCCCAAATTTCAGCAATGCCGAGGGGCAGAGACCTGCTTTAGATGGTAGGTTTGAGTGAGCTCTGGGTCCAGGCTCTTCCCAGCTGTACCCTGTTGTCTCCAACCCTCTCCAGTCCTAGGATGCAGCGGTTCTCCTGCCCTCAGCAGTGAGGTTCTGGCACCCCCTTGTGGGCAGTCTGAGGACCTGGACCCAGAGACCAGGTTCTCCGTGGAGAGGTCAGCAAGCAGCCTCTCCCACCTCTGTCCCCATCCCCAAGTCCAGCCCCTCCCCACAGCAGGAAATGGGGGCACTAGCAGGAGTTTCTTTAGGGGGGGCTAATCTGGGGTTGAGCTCAGCCAGAGGGGACTCAGTTGGGTTGGGGGTCTCAGCGGGGTTGGACTGGGAAACTCATTCTGGCCTTTAATCTCAAGTAATGCCTCAGGTTTTTCAGCCATTGGCCCCTAGGATGAAGCAGTTATTGGCTTTTGGGGGCTGTCTCAGCACTGCAGGCTGTTTACCATCCCTAGGTCCCCATTAAATACCATAAAAGGGAGGCAGGCTTTTAACAACGCACAGAACGCCCCCCCCCCCAATTTCCAGATGCCCCCTAGTGGGGAAGTTCTGCCACCTGCAGAAAGGGAGGAGTCCAAACAGGCCCTCCCTCTCCCTTCCCTCCCTCGCCAGCATCCCACACACTGGGAACCCCCAGACTGTGCACAGAGGAGACTGGAGGCAGAAAGTTCCTGTGCTCCCAGAGCTGTAGTCAGAAAACACACCCTCCGGCTCTGACCCTGGCCAGTGTGGCTCAGTTGGTTGGAGTGTCTTCTGAAAGGTCGTTGGTTGGATCCCCGGGTCAGGGCACATACCTGGGTTTCCCGTGCAGTCCCTGGTCAGGATGCATCCGAGAGGCAACTGGTTGATGTTTCTCTCTCACATCGATGTTTCTCTCTCTCCCCCTTCCTCTCTCTCTAAAAGCTGTAAAGCATATCCTCGGGTGAGGATTAAAAATAATAAGAAAACACGCCCTCTGACCTTCAGAATTCCCCTAGCCTGAGGGGGGAGTCTCATGCACCCTGCCCCACCATCACCATTTCAGCCTAACAAAAAGCTGGCATTTATTGGCCAGCTTTTTGGTTCTGGATTCTGTGCTCAGGAGTTTTGTAGACATCATTTCACTTAGTCCTCATGAAGACTTATGAAGGGTCTAGTTATTTTCCTCCCCTTTAACAGGGCAAGACACTTAGGCACAGAGAGATTAAGTCACTTGACTGGGACCACACAACAAGGAAGCTGGGACTCCAGCTCTTTCTCCGTGGAGCCGCCACCAGGAGTGCTGGCCAGGAAGAGTGGGGTGATGATGACATGCACCCTCAAACCTCAGCTCCTGGGTGTCGCAGCTTCCAGGCAGGGCCCTGAAACTCAGCATGTGGTGGGAGGGGCCCTCATCTCCTAGGAAACAGTTCCCGTGCTGAGCCTGCTCAAAGTTCACATTCAGGAACTGCAAAAGCAAGATTACAGGAGGAGGGCTGGCTCTGCCCTGGGTCATGCAAAGACAGGCAGAACCATTTGCACAGTTTCTCCCCACCTTCCCTTTTGCCAGTGAAAATGGGGCTTGGGCTGCTCCCATGTGGCAGAGATGGAAACCGAGGCTAGGAGAGGGGCTGGGAGCCAAGTAATTCCTATGAACTGGGAGCAGGGCCACAAAAGGTCTTGGAGGTAGGAGGGGAGGAGGAAGAGCTGGCTTCTCTGATGAAATCCAAAGGGCAGCAGAAATCAGAGGTAAGAAAATAAATCAGGCAGTAGATAATAAATATCCCTGCAATGCAGACTGGGTAGAGATAAGATGGTGGGGGACTCGGGGATGTGGAGAGCTTAGTCCAGGGTTATGCTCCAAGCTTGAGAAAAATTATTGGGTGGAGACCAAGCTTGGGGAGGGGGTGTAATGCCCAGGGAACATGCAAAGAGCCCTCCAGGAGGGACTTTGGGTGGGTCCTGGGCCCTCTTCATTCAGGGACACTTCACCCGGATGGGGTCATTTTGCTGGCCCCAGAACCAGGTCTTTCCTTACAGGGTGCAGAACAGGCATTGGGTCAACCCTGGGAGCTGCCTGGTGGAGCTGAGCAGGACGCCTTCATGAGGAGGGGTTCGCCATCCTTGCATAGTTTGGAGGCTCCTTTCTCCCTCAGCTCCAACCCCCAGTCGCCCACTCCTTCCTTCTCCTTTCTCCCAGCCTCCTGTTCCCTCTTCACTGCTGTGGAGACAAGAAGGGACCAGATAACCCAATTTCGTAAGGCCTTAGGTGTTCCAGGCCTCTTACAGTTCTCTCACCCTTGTTGTCCCGCACCCTTGTTGTTTCCATTGTCCAGAGAGGAGGCGGAGGCTCAGGCAGGTGAGGACATTTGCCCAGTTTGAAGAGGAAGGAAGTGCTGGGGCCCAGGCTTGAGCTACATGAGCCCAAATCTGGCCCCTCTGGCTTCCTGATCTCAAAACTGTGTGAGTGGATGGGCAGAGACATGAGGGGTGGGCCCATTTCTGTGTGCATAGGCGAGTGAGCGGATGCGTGGATGGCTGGGCAGATGGGTGTGTGGACACGTGGTGGGAAGGTAAGTGGGTGGGTGAAAGGATGAGTGATGGGTGGGTGGGCAGACAGAGGGCTGGACAGACGGGTGGATGATGAGGGGTGGAAGGAGGGGGGAGGGGTAATGGATGGCTGGAAGGAGAGGGTTGGACGAGAGGATGGATAAATGGACGGGTGGGTAAGTGGATGCATGAATGAATGGGCTCAGGCGGGGTGATAAAGACTGCAGGTCCATTTGAAGTACATGTAGGGATGGGGTCCTCTGTGAGGAAGCCACCTTGTTTGGCAGGTAGGAAGTCAGGAGGGAAGTCAGCAAGGTTATGTGAGGCCCCCATGGATTCTGAATCAAAGAATTACCCCTGGTGCCCTCAATTGCCTCCTGGGAGGAGGCTGAGAGGAGAGGGGCTCAGAGGGGAGAGGGCAAGGGAGGGCGGGGCTCAGAGAGGGTGGGGACCACCTGTCATGAGACTCGCTCTACCAAGTGGCATAGGCCACAGTGAGGATGAAGATGGGGAAGAAAAGGCCAGTGTGGCCCATCAGCCACGCCTTCCTCTAGGCCACTGTGGGCAGGAGCAGCGCAGGGTCAGCGGCCTGGCTGCCAGGTTGGGATTCCCTCCTTCCTCCACCTCCCTGCCCCGCAAGGCCTTGCAGGGTTGGGCCTGAATCTGCCTCAGGACTGGAGCTGCCTGAAGGGAGAGTCACTGGGGGTCATCCAGAATCTGTCCATCCTGGTCTGTCCTTGCTCCTGTCCAGCAGGTTCTGGGGTGCACCCTTGGCTGGAGGAGGAAGTGGGCTGCCCAGGGCACCCCAGGGCAGGGTGTGGCCAGTGCCAAAGGAAATGGGAGATGGGGCCCCCTTCCCTGGGTCCTGAGTATCCCAGTGCCCTGTCTCCCTGAAGTTCACCCTGACCCCCTCACTCCCCACAGTCAGAGCCATGGGAGGGGAAGGCTCAGGAAAGGTGGGGAACTCATTTCCTGAGAACCTACTATGTGCCAGGCCTTGCAATGGCCCTTGTGCCCCAGTGCCTCCTTCAAGCCTCAGACTGATGGTCAGAACTCTTGTCTTCATATTGCAAAAGAGCTGACTTGAGACTCAGAGAGGTCAGGCCACCTTCCCCAGGGACACATAGCACTGCAGAGAAACAGTTCTCCCAGGTAGGAACCACAGCGAGGAAAGAATACCCCCCCACCCCAAACCCCACCATTAGCTCCTAAGATCTGAACCTCCAAATTTGACCTTAGCCACAGCCCACAAACCCATATTTTGGGCAGCCTGAGCTCCAGTCCAGGCTCTGCCAAAACAGCCAGGGAGACCCGCCCCAGTGGCTAACGTCTTTCAAAGCCTTAGTATTTTCATCTGGGAAATGGGGCTAATTAGGTATTGATGGAGACAGAGAGAGGGTAAAGATACCAGGTGTTCAGTGGGAGCATCTATTAGGGCATTTATTTTGTTTGTTTTTTTATGGTTTTCCTGCCCACCTGGTGGGCAATCCTGGAAGTGTTCTTAGAAGCCTTCTGGGTGCTATGGGCCCCAGGATGGAGCTCCAAATGCCACATTTTGTCAAAGACCTCATTAAGAATATTTATTAAGAAATAGCTAACATCCAGGGCACAGAGAAAGTGAGAAAGGGAAGGCTGGAAACTGGGAGGAGAAAATGCTTGTTCCATCCCAAGAAAATGCAGGGCCCTGAGGCCCCCATCCAAAACCCAGTTCTCAGAAATGGGATTACAGAGTTACGTGACCCAAACATGGGGTAGGAGGAAGCAAGAATTTCCAGGGAGACAGCCCTGGGGGCTCAAAGTCCAGGGCTCAGGGCAGCAAAATCAAGATTGCAGGGAAGTGTTTACTCTGCCCAGGGCATCAGTGCAGCCTGATCTTCGTTCCTGCCTGGGCATTGCCCCCAAAACCAAAAGCTGCCTCTCAGGGGGAAATAGTCCCAAGACACAACAGGAGCACTTCTGAAAGGCTCTGATCAATTCTTTAATGCAGGTCCCCAAGAGGCAATCCCTAGCTCATATTGGTCCTGAGGGAGGAGGGTCTAACCAAGAGGTATCAGGCAGAGGGAAAAGAAACCAGACAGTGGGTAGAAGCGGGAGAGCCATGAGATGGGG